ACAAGAGAGGTGTAGTAATGAAGATAATTTTTTCATGAAAAGAATGTGCAAATTTTCAAAGGATATATTTGATTATTCTGATACCCTAAATCTGTACAACTCATGAAGGTACTACTAAACCATGTAACAAAAGAGAGGAAAAAGGCATAGTTTTTTCATTCAGTCAAGTGTTCTGAGGATTTTAATTGTTTCTATGGCCTTAATAAAACCCTAAACAATTTTTCAGGAAAAAACCACACCAGCCATTCAACAGTCATTTTTAATTTTTTTTTTTAATTCAACAGCCATTTAAAATGAACACAAAAGGGGCGCCTGGGTGGCTCAGTGGGTTAAGCCTCTGCCTTCGGCTCAGGTCATGATCTCAGGGTCCTGGGATCGAGCCCCACGTCGGGTTCTCTGCTCAGCAGGGAGCCTGTTTCCTCCTCCCTCTCTCTGCCTGCCTCTCTGCCTACTTGTGATCTCTATCTGTCAAATAAATAAATAAATTCTTTAAAAATAATAATAATAAATAAAATAAAATAAAATGAACACAAAAATTCTAAATTCCATAGACTTTTTGAACGGTCAAACTCTCTTTATTAACATTTGCCTCCTAATGATGGTTTGCCATGGCAGAATGCTAATTCCTACAGGTTTTGGCAGATGAATAGAGAAACTGGGAGAGGTCATTGAGCTGACATTCAGAGCCTGCTTGAAGTGAATAAATTATTTATGTGTCATGCATGGAATAGAAAAAGGAATAAACTTCTGAGAATAAGGGTAGATGGTGTCATTTTGGCGGACACAAACTGTAAACAAAACAAAAAACGCAATCCTCAGATAACATTATCGAAATGTTCTTTTCTCCCTCCCAGAAGGGAACCGATTGTATAGTAGAAAGAACATTAGAAAACATAGTTTTATATTTAGCAAAGGGTTAATTGGTGCCTGGAAAGAGCACACTTTTTACAGGTTTTTTTGGCCAAACTATCCTTTCCAGATGTAGCAAACCATCTCTTCTGTCTCTCTCCATTCCTCTCTCCTCCTTTTTCTCTAATGCCTAAAATATTCAGTGGGGAAGGTCAAGTGCTATAGACAGGTAAGGAAAAGTTTGCTTTCTCTTGTCTTACCTCAGGGCCCTTAAGGCAAATGTATAATCCTGATCCAAAAAAAAAAAAATCTCAACAACAGCAACAATAATGGTTTTATCTCAACTGCTTGTAAGATTTGATGGTGAAGTTCGTAGAGCTGCTGTGCTTTATAAATTACCCTCATGTGTACTACCATTTGGATTCCTCCCAGAAATCATGTGAGGTAAGCAAGGGGAGGTTTATTTCTTCCTTTTTATATGAAAGAACAAAGAGGCACAAAGGTGTTAAGTGATTTGCCACCATCACTCAGGACCAGATCATACACCCACATTCTGGGGCTACTATCAATATTGCCTCCATAAACTTCCATCACTGAGAAATTTCACTAAAACAAATACACACACACACACACACACACACACATATTGTACCTACATACATATACGTACACATATATACATATATGTATATAAATTACAAAAAAGGAACAAATCCTTTGTGATTTTCATAGTAGATATGAAGATCTGTGTTTTTGTACTTAATTAATTAAATATCTTTTATTTGCGTACACTGAGCACTACTGATTACAGTAAGTTCTATGAAAAGTAGATCAATCCATAAAACAAAAGAAATGGGTTTTTTTAACATTAAATGTTTTTTAATATTGAATTATTTTTAAAAAGTAATTCTAACAAAAACAATCAGTATAGATTTTTTGAAATGAAATGCATGTATCCACTCAATTATTAGTTCAAACATATTATGAAGCGCATGCACTGGGTACCCTGGCTATAGCAGGATATGAAGAACCCTAGTTCTAACCTAGTCGAGGTGGGGTAAGAAAAGCATCTCAAGAAAAAGCAATTAAAGTAAAATCTGAAAAAAAAAAAAAACAACCTGATAGGAAGAGCTTAGTCAAAATGCAAGGAAGAGACGGAGAGGAGGGAGCACTATGAAAGAGTATTTCAGGAAGAAGTAAACTGTGGAATATTGTAGAATTTAGTGAAGTGGATGCGATCACTAGGTAGACAACTTAGCATGGAGAAAGACCACAGACCAAACCCGATGGAACAACCAAAAATATCTTATGGCTTTACCACATAAAATATTTTACTTTACACTGAATTCCCTGTTTCTCAGCCAGAGCTCAAAACCACATGAGTATATTGTTTTTATTTTCTGAAATGCAATATTCACATGGAATGAAAAAACTAACACTCTTAGATACCTTCTCCTTACAAGAACCTTTCACACCTGTACAGTCTGTCTCATTGAATCCTCACAACCACCTTTGCTAAATTACATCCTCTCTGCTTTTGACCAAGGCTTTCAGACTATTATTTTCCAAACATTCAGGCTGGAAGATCCAGGATTAGAACCCAGATTTTAGGTTCCTTTGTCTACTGAACTTTAAAGACACCACGCAATGGTCCTGTTAGCTTAAGAAAATCCTATTTGTCCAAAAAGTGCTTATTAAAATTTCCCTTTCTGGAGGAAAAAAAAAAAACAAAAAACCCTGTCATGACCCAAGGAATGAAAGGAAGTGCTCAGATTTGGCCTCCATTTCTCTGGTGTCTCCTGCATCCATTTCCATTGGTATGCAGCTTGTCTGGTGCTCTCTCTCCCATATGACCATAGACACTACGAGCAAAGACATGGCCGGCCGCAATGTCAGTACTCTGTGCAGATTGTCTGGGTAGGATAGCTTCCTTCTCGCACATTCATCCAAAGGCTTTTCAATGTGCCATCATGTTTTTAGGCACCACTACATGTGATTCCTGTCACCATTAATAGCCAGAGTTATGTTCCATCAAAACCTCTCTATGTCGGAAGCAAGAATCTTTCTACAGTAAAGCTTGGTAGGATAAATCCAGTTAGGCTTCTATTTTCTAGCCCATGCTTTGTATTAAAAGCGGCCTCAGCAACCTGAAAGATTAATTGTCCTTTCCAACATACCTGTTTCTTATCCTGCTGGTAGGAGAGAAAAGGGATTGTTGGCAACAATCCTCCCAATGAAATCCCATAAATAGTCTGGCCCATTTCTTCTATGCCATGTTCCAGAAGTTAGTAGACACCTGGGAAGAAGAAAGTAATGCACTAAAAACATAAAAGGTGGCAGGTCAGGTTAATGCAAAAATGTAGAAACAAATCCGCAAGGGAAAAGTTAGGTTGGCAGGGCCTATTCTGCTACTGGGGATGCACGTCAGCCTCCACACCTGGAAAGAATTTATCCATCCTTTGCAGGAAGAGGGACAGGGGAGGAGGAGGACCTATCTCGTTCCAGAATTCTGAACGACACCAGGTTGCAAAATATTGGGTAGATTAAATAGAATGAGATCTCAGAGGAAGAGCAGAAAAAGGAAGACCACAAAGAGGAAAGGGACAGATGTAAAAAATGAGAAGCAGGATGGGAAAGAGGAAGCATCCTGTCATAGGAGCTGCAGAAACAGGGGTCTATTTTCAAAGGAGTAGGTGTCTCAGGCAGAGTGGATCTGGCAGCCCATGGCAGGTGGGCTCCAAATACAATTCAGACCCCTTCCTGGAAAAAGCAGTTCAGCCCTCCAGCAAGGAAGCCAAGGGAGCAGTGGGAACCCAGAAAGAAAGGAGAGCTTCCTGCTAGAGTTTCTCCGTTTGGGGAACACCTGCAGTGTCATCACTTTGGGGATGGAGTGCTGTAAAATGCAGAGATCCTTGGAACCCGATCCAGACCATCAGAATCTTCCTGGGGTCCTGCCTGGGATAGCGGACAAATGCCCTATATGAGTCTTAGGCATGATTAAGTTTCATCAACCCTGGCTGAGATGAGAAAACTGGGTGGCCAAAGCCTTTTGTTCATAGACTGCTCAAGGTTATCACTTGGTCATACCACCTAGGACAAAAAGAGATCCCCTCCCTACAGAGATCTCGGATTCCTTTGTCATGAGAAATGCCAAATATCCCCCACACTCTCTCCACAGAACATTCCTGAAGGTCTGGTCACATCCTCTGACCACTAGTGAGGTTCCTGAGAGAGGGTCTGTGGTTTCAGAAGTTGTGTCTTATTTACTGGTAAGGAGGATACAGTCAGGACCTGAGGCTGAGGCACCAATTCCATCTTCATCAGAGGCACTTTCAGACCCCAGGGTGGAAACCAAAATGGACTGCTAGGAGAAAGGGAAGAGGAAGAAAGGTCCTAAGAAGTCGAGTGAGCCAGAAACACTCATCAAGACCCTAACTGGAAATCAATATGCGAGGTGCCAAAGGCAATATGCTGTCTCATAGAACTGTGATTCAAGCTATAAGCCTAAAAACAAATTTGGGAGGAAAATTTGGGTGAAGTAGAAACACTCTAATTAATTAGAAATGTGTGTATGTGTTCAATGAATTTCCATTTTCCAGCAGATAAGCCAGGCTAACTAAAACCATGTTCAAAGTCTGGAGTTGCGAAAGAAATCCCTAGTCAAATACACCAATAGTTGGCTTGCGGGATAAAAAGTGAACCGGAACCACTCTTTCCTGGTAACCCTTGACTCCCACCCTTTTCCTTCCCTCTGATGACTGGGCTGGTGAGTTGAGGTCCTAGTTCTACCGTTTCCTTTCAGAGGCCGCCAACTTCAGGAAGCCCGTGCCCAGTACCAGGCACTTCTGCACACCGCCACAATACTGCAAGGCTTGGTTTCCAGCTTTGCGGCATAACCAGCCCTTGCGCTCCTGAGCGGGCTCAGAACTGCTGCTACATCTCCAATAATCTCCATCCTTTATCCTTCCTACCATCCCCTGCCACACACTTTCGCGGTAATGATAAACCGAAGGTCTCTTTTAAGACCTCTGCCCGGGGTGTCCTCTGAAGCCTTCTTTCCTGAAACACCAGGAGAAGTCCTTCCCGATCCGAGTCCCATCACCCAGCACTGGGGAACCTCGAGTTACCTCTGGTCTCCCTTCTCTCCACAGCTCCAACGGAAAATCCGTCACGTGGGCCCAGAACGAGAAGAGCAGCCGGGGGCAGCACCTGTGGCAGCGGCTGTCCATCCACATCAACAAGAAGGAGAACCCCAACCAAACGGCCGTCATCAAGCCCTTCCCCAAGAGCACCGAGAGCCGCGGCCTGGGCGCCGGCGGCGCGGGGAGCGGCGCGGGGGCCGCGGCTGGCGCGGGCGGGGGCGCGGGGGGCGCGGGTGGTGGCCCCGGGGGGGCGGAGCCCCCGGACGCCGGCCCCAAGGCGCTGTACGACGTGGCGGAGGCCGAGGAGCACTTCTCCGCGCCCGCGCGCCCGCGCTCGCCGTCGCCCATCAGCACGCTGAGCCAGCGCGCGGGCTCGGCCAGCCGCACGGACGACGACGTGCCGTCGCTGCACTCGGAGCCCGCGGTGCGCAGCAGCTCTTCGCAGGGCTCGCTCATGGAGCAGATCAGCAGCGTGGTGACCCGCTTCACGGCCAACATCAGCGAGCTCAACTCCATGATGCTGTCCACCGCGGCGCCCGGCCCCGGCGTGGGCGCCCCGCTCTGCTCGTCCTACCTGATCCCCAAAGAGATCCAGCTGCCCACGACCATGACGACGTTCGCCGAAATCCAGCCGCTGCCCGCCATCGAGGTCACGGGCGGCGCGCCGCCCGCGGCGGTGGCGGCGGCGGCCCCGCCGGTAGGGGGCGCTGCCGAAGAGCCCCCGGCGGCGGCCGGGCCCGAGGCTGCGGCGGGGAAGGCGGACCTGGAAGAGTTGGTGGCTCTCACCCCGCCGTCCCCCTTTAGAGACTCGGTGGACTCTGGGAGTACCACCCCCAACTCGCCAGTGTCGGAGTCGGCCCTCTGTATCCCATCGTCTCCCAAATATGACACATTGATCATAAGAGATTACACTCAGAGCTCCTCGTCGTTGTGAATGTCCTCGGAAACCACGCTGGCTTCCGCTGACGGAGCCGAGACCTCCCGCGTTCACGCAGACACAGTGACAAGCATAGTCGCCTGGTTAAGACCCGAGGTGGAAGATGCCAAGTGCACCCGCAACGGAAACATGAGATTAATAGTGCTATTTCACATCAACCGACGAAGACACCAACTACAAATCTTCTGGCAGATTTTCTTCTAGTGGCCTTAGAAAACACGGGCTTTTAAGAAACACTGCTTATCTTTTTGAGGGCTGACAAGGAGTCTGTTGAACCAGTTCCATACCAAGTGCTTTGCTCTAGGGAAGCAATGAGCGTGAAACAGCATAATGGAGGGGGAAGAGCATAGTTAATAAGCAACTGTAAAAAGTTTTGTTTACTTTAATTCTTTTCCCAGAAGATTCTTTGATTCACCAAACATGAATGTACATTTTCTAACAAACTCAAAATCTGGGACCAAAACGTCAACCTTTCTCTTTCTCTCTCTCTCTCTTTTTTTTCTTTCTTTTTTCTGTCCTGTAAAGACCTTGAAAAGCAGTACCTTGGGCCCAGTATTTACTGAGGCGTTGTTCTGAGTGTGTCCCATGCATAACACACAACGGGATAATGAGTGCTGCGCTGACGTGTGCAGGACTTTTACCAGAGACATTCCTCTCCGATTTGGTTTGAAATCCTCTTCCAGAAGCCTGCATCCAGGAGTCCACCTAGTTATTTCAATTCACCTCCATTAACCAAGAAAACCAGTGGAAGATTTCTTGACTATTTCACCATGTTGCCAATCAATACTGGAGTAGCAAAAAAATATTTTCTGGAATACTGTTTTGTAATTCCCTCACTGGGGTACGTTGTGTAGCTGGAAATTCTCTTTATAATAATAATAATAATAATAATAATAATAATAACAATAATAATTCCTGAGCTCCAGCTTGGCTATCTCTTTCATGAAATGTGGCCACTCCTTCTTACGAATGCTGTTCCATTAGCATTGCCAGCTAAAATATTAATATATGCATTTGGGCTTCTTCATTCCTTTTCTTTGAGAACCTGATGCACAAAGAGCTCCTCTGTTCTTTTCAAGTCCCACCACTGGAAGAATGGTCTATAGACCCACTGAAGACAGCATCATGATTGAAGGGACTGTTGTTCAAAAAGTTAACACAATCTTAATACACTGGAAATTTTAAACTGTGTCAAGTCGGCTTAGCAGAGATTTAGCTATGCCAGTGAGCAGTGATTTTAACTTTTCTCGGCTGCTTAAATAGGGCAGCTATGAACTATGACAAATGTAGATTTTTCAAAGCAATACAGAATACTAAAACAGAGGAACCTTAATGAATATAAACCACACAGTCTTTCTTAGCCATTCCAAAAAGAGACAAAGCAATTATTAATATTTCCTTTTTAAAATAATTAATATGATTTTGTGCACTTCATACTGTCACTTTTTAAATACTGCAGAAAAGAGATTTAAAGATATAATAGAAATACATGTGCTTTAATAGGCTCATATAGGTAGTATTCATAGCTCGAGACCTGCATCCACTGTCATCTCTTTCTTCTTCCCATTACAGCTATCCTCAGGTGCCAAATGTTTCTTTTTGTTTGTTTGTTTGTTTGTTTTGGTTTGGTTTTGGTTTCGTTTTTAATTTTTAAATAAGGATAGTAATAAAAGGAGGAGGTATCCTATAAATTTAGAGTTTAGTTGATCTAGCCTTATACTAAAGATAGCCTTATGAAAATGATTTGCTGAGGCAGAAGTATATTTTTAGCAGGAAGAAAAATAAATGAAACCTTTTTCTTTAGCTCAATATCCTTATTTTGGCATGTATTTTTTATTGTACATCTACTTTAAAAATGGAATTGAGGAATGGAAATATATCCATTCACGTAACTTATCATTCCCCAGTTTTAAAATTTATAATATGTATACTGCTTGACTTTCCTGATATCTCTTCTTAAATCTTTAAATCAAATCTCCCAGTATAAAATATTAAAAGCACACATTAATTTAGTAAAATATAAATTTTCAAAAATCAAACTTCCCATGCCAGATTTGAAAATAACGTCATCAGAGCACCCTGAAACCTACATGTTCTAATGAGACTCTTGAAAGAGTGAATTTAGCCAAACTTTATGGTTTCATTGAAAGCGAATGTCTGCCTCTACTTCAAAAACAAATGTAAATATTTTGAAGCATTAACACCCCTCAATCCTCTTGAAAAGGGTGGCATTCACCTGGGGATTACCATCTTGATTTCTTAAACATTGAAACCTTTGCAAATATACTCTATTGTCTAAATTTTAAATTTGCTTCTTAAACCCTGTGGTTGATTTCCATTTTATTCTGTACTGACCAATAGAAAAACAGTTTTAAAAACTTTTTCCATGAGCAAATTCCTCTTCTATATTTTTAGTGACGTATTTCGTTAAAAAGTACACTACCTTATGAGAAAATTCATCAGAAATTAAAACTTAATGCAAAATTAAATTTCCATCTGATAATTCTATATGAAATTATGATAAACTGTAATAAGAAAAATAATTTATCCAATTGAAGGAGAACAATATGTATTTTTCTCTGTGTTTCTGCACCCTTTGCCATTTCATTCAGTACATTGTATAATACATAATATTATTCGTAATGCATTCTTGGGATCTTTTATTTTGGAATGATGCTAGCTCTGTCTCTTTGCCAATTTTAATACCAGGTTCCAAGTAATAAATCTACAAGGAGAACTGAATATTCATTCTAGGGCTAGGATACGAACTTCGCAGTTCATTTGGGTACCTATTTTCATTGAATTTCCTTGAAAACAGTCTGTTCCTGGTGTCCAGTGATAATTCAGTTGGACCAGCATGACCAAAAGGAAGGGGAAAGTACAGTGAAATGCTAAGATTCAGAAAAGTGACCCTACAGGACAGTTTGGTCCCAGGATGAAAGAAAGAAGACCCAGTTTGATCAAGTTATATGGACCATCTAAGCAGTCCACTCACTCTTCTGTTTTGGGAGAGGAGTAGGGGCAGAGAAGACCCTAAGTGGATTGGGAAGAAGCATCTCTCTGGGTGAGGGGTGGGGAACAGAGAGGGAGGACGCAAAGGAAAACCATATGAGATTTGAAAGAAGCAAAGAAAAACAGTAAATCCCCGAATGTGCTAATCCTTGTTAGTTAAAGTCTTTCCCAAGCTTCTGCTGTTCCCAGCAAACCATCAGGAAGACTAGGAGCTATTTCTGACTGTGAATGAGTTGTTACAATGGCTCTGCTGCAGTTCTGGGACTTCCAAACCAGGAATTAAACACTTTTTAAGAAAAAACAAAAAACAAAAAACACTTCCTATGCTAGTCTCCCAGCAAAATGTACATGTTTTGGAGACTTCAAAAGTATTATCTGAGTTCACATTTAGCCACAGCTTCTTAATAACCCTTGAGCTGGCAGAATCTCTATAGTTAACCATTTAAAATTTTATACTGTGAAAAAATACAGATCAGTGAAAAGCATAAAGATAAATCAAAATTCATTCTCAAGAGGGTCTGAGGCCTGGGAGATTCTCTACTATCTGTTGAAGAATGAGGTATGTATAAAATAGTTGGCTGAATTTCACTGATCTTCCCAATGTGAACAAATATACTATGTATATTGTGTGTACTTCTAGAATTCAATGGCAGCTGCTGGTGGTGTTGTAATTAGAAATCTATATAGAATATAGATGTTTTAGAAAGATGGTGCCAATCCTAAAAGATTTGTGTGGGCTACAAGTGCTTGTATTTACTTTTTTCTGCACTTTAACTGATTTGGTTTTAAAATTGTGTGCGCGTATCTGTTCTTTTTCTGTTGTTGCAGCTTGTACTATTAAAACAATAGAGAATGTTAAATTATTTTGATGTGAATTGCAAATGATTTTTTTCATAAAGTTTAACATTTTTATCAGCATTGTTTTGCTTTGTACTTGTATAAATGTGTTTTCTTTTAGCATTTGAAAGTACCCTTGCCTGTTTCTCAGTTGTCTAAATCATGTTATAGTTGGTGTTTGTGAAGTCAGTTACTTTTTGAAAAATATTAAAAAAGAAATTATGGTATGACTTTAAGATTCTTCCCCTTAAATGTTTAGAATGTTGTCTTAATACTGTTTTTCCAAGACCCAGAGAGCCATATTATTAATTCATCTTTAAATGCTGAGTGATCTACACATTTGAATTATGGGATTTAGATAGTAGCCTATGGACAATAGATTAAATTAAAAATGTAAACCAACCACAAACCAACCAGAGATGCTGTCCTCAAAGACATCTACAAACATCTTTTAAGACATATTTTTTTTTTAAACAATGAAGCATGTAGGGATTAAACCTTGACTTTGTGTCTGGAAATATAAATACAAATTATAGTTCCACAGTTATCTGTGTTGATAGAGGTTACATCATAAAAATAATATAGATTATGGGTGTTTATATATCTGTGTATGTCTGGTTGTGTATACAAACATACACACATCTATATAGACATTTTACTTTTGAGTCCATCTATATATGTGTCTATGTGTGTATGTTTGTGTGTGCATGTATGGGCATATCTGTATAATTTTACGGGAAAAAATTACTTGTCAAATCACTTTCTACTTTGATGGATTCTTAAGCAAATTTACACTCCTTGAACACAGATTATCTAAAACATAAAACATGATGTGTGGAAGAGAAAAACAATGTAGATTTTAAAACATAGCTTCTCTCTGCTTCCCTACATTGTATTATTTATACACATATAATATGTATATACATATATTCTTATACATATGGAAATTGATACAAAATATGTTTGATCTTAAAAAAGAAAACCATTTTGTGTGCTTTGTCAGATTCTACTGCTTCAGTGTCTTCTATTCTGAAGTAATATAAATGGGCATATGTTTATATAAACTTAGGGTCGAAGTGAGATACCTGGAACACATACAGCAAATCATTTTCTAAAGACCAAATGAGTCTTCTAAGACTCCATAGACT